GGCGATAGTAGTAACCGATGGTCAGTCTCAAGATAGCGTTGCCGAGAGTGCACAACAATTGAGAGATGCTCATGTGATGATGTATGCAATTGGTGTTACGAATTTAGTTAACGTACATGAGTTACATCAGGTAATTAATTATTGTGGTTAACGGTATATGAGCACTTCATTGCTGTTAAAAGTTCATCCTCATTTTGTGCATCGTTGTAATTACTAATATATCTTAATAAATAATGAAATTGAATATGAAAATTTATTTTGTTGGAATTGCAGATAGCTGGAAATCCAGCAAGAGTGCTTACAGTCGAATCATTCGACGAATTGAGCAAAACTCTTGCAGATTCGCTTACTTGGGATATGTGCAAGACAGAATTTAGTATGTTTAAATTTGCTTCTGAAATCCAAAAAAAGAGAATTGATTTTGTTTCGTGACATTATAATTCAATAATTGATTCTCAAAATTCATTTTTATATTTTCACTGTGAAAATACCTCGAGCACTTTCTTTTAAATGAATAATAATCTTGTCTTACCTTACAAAAGCTTATAGATATGGTAGCTGCAATTTTTCTCTTATCTTAATAAAATCCATATACGATAGTTACTTTTTACCTTACCTTAAGAAAGCTTATGTATAGCTGCCACTTTTATGTTACTTACATTTCTTACCTTAATAAAGCCTATGCGTGATAGTTGCTAACTAGTTAGAATATAGATAATATAATCGATTCTTTGTTGTCTAATATATTTGAACGAAATATGCATAATTATATCAAATCTGTTAGATATTTTAATATAAATTAGCACACCGACCTAAAATGAATACGATGAATAGGACCTGGCACACCTGACATAATCTGTGGTGCGGATCGAATTGGAGTACGAGCATCAACGAAAAATCCATTCGATGGATACGTCTTCATTATGGACCATTTTCATAAAAAAGAATGTCGAGCAGGTCCCGAGCAATTTCCAGATGCTCGAAGTATTGGCATTACTATTCCATTCACTGAATGCAACATACATCGCTATCGTTCAGTAAGTTTAGTTTTTTTTTTTTTTTTAATTTAATCATTTAGCAATTTTTAAACATTGTCTTTTCAAGAAAATGTAAAATAGATTGAAATATTTCCTGAACATTTGATTTTTCTTTTATGACTGAAATCAATTTCATCATATTTTTTAAAAATACTTCATTTCATCATATTTCGTTTTTCTTTTTTCTTCTGCTTGCCCTATTTAATTAATTTATAGTTTCAGTTGAATCCGCGAGGTATCTTTGTTGAAATGACAGTTGTCTTCATGTTTCATGCACTGTAAGGATTTATGATAATTTTTGCAAATGGAAATAACTTCGTAGTGAGACATTTAGCTACTCTTTCATTAATTAAATTTTGGTGTTATTTTAAATTTTGTAACTTTTTATCTTAAATTAAAAAAATGATCATGTTACAGATTTATGACCAAAGTTGATCAAATGGTAAAAGTGCAGTGCTTTTATATGGAAGCTGATAAGTCTGTATCAGTACCAATGGAGGTCAGGTATGTTGGGGGCATTAAAATATCGTTATGAATTATATGTATCATTGTTAATTTCGATTACATGTATCATTGTTAATTATATTCCATGTTATAATGAACCGCAATACCGATGCGGCATTTACAATAGAAGTAATTCTCTTTAAATGTGTGGAGATTAGCACGATAGCTACATATATCAGTAATATAACACATTTTTTGACAATAAAGACAATTGCGCCTTTGTTTTTTATTGTAAGGAATCTGTAAAAAATAGTTTCAAATATATTTTAGTAAATTTTTAGCATGATCACAACACAATTTCGTGAAAAGATGTATGAAATGCCGCGATGCGAATATACTCTTCGGCGTGGATCACAGGATGGACCAATTGTTGAATATGCACAACTTGGTGAAAATGTTTATCATCGTTGGGAATGTCATGATCAAGCTGATACATTTGGAATGCTTGTACATTCCTGTTATGTCGATAATGGTTTTGGTGATCGAGTAGATATTCTGGATGATACAGGGTATGGTAATTTATTCTTTTCTAATAATATATTGATGGTTCCAAATTAACTATTAAATAAGTTTCATTGAAATAGAAAATGATTAAATGAAACAAATAAAATTAAAAGAAAAAAACAACGGCAACAGTAAAATAAACGACTAATTACTTATTATCATTTTTTTCAAATTATAATTAAAAATTAAATTTTATTATAGATGTGGAGTGGATAACGTTCTACTGATGACTCCAGATTATGATGAAACATTGAGACTTGCAACAAAGCCGTATCATGTTTTTAAATATGCCGATAGGCCTGTATTACAGTTCCAGTGTCAGGTATGTTCATCAAAAGATTAAAATATTAAGAAGAGAAGCGAAAATTTATTAAACTATTATCCAAATTGTCAAAATACAACAATAACTTTGACGCTAAGATAATCATCCTTCAATTTTCATTTCTTAATGATAGTAACACAACAATAACAACAACAATAACAACAACAATAACAATAACAATAACAA